AGAGCATCTAATCCTGCCCAGCTCGGCTCTTCCCACCTCGCCACCAAGAAAACAAAATCAGCGTCCTCTCTGGAGTCTGGGGCACAGCTGCCCTGGTTATTGGGAAGAAGGTGACATCTTCAACCCTCTGATGACCAAACTTTCTCTCCTCCTTCTCCATTCAAAGTGCAGATTGTCTCTAGGCAGAAAGTCTTTTGTTCTACAGATTTTCCTTGATTCCTTACTCTTCAACCCTGTTCCTCTCATGTCACTCTTTCTCAGCCTTCCTTCCATTAGGCCTTCTGGAATCCCTTGTATCATTATCAAACTGCCCTTCATAGTAGACTATTTCCCCTCATAGTCCTTCCATCTTCTCACAATCATAGAAATCTGGCTCTTCCCCTCCTCTCAAGAAAAAAAAATTGCAGTCACCCTCTTCAGTCCCTGCTTGTCCACAAGTCCTTCTGGCCTTTGTTTTGTCTTCCTGTGCTCATTTTTAAAAAATACTTCAAATAACCTTCTTTTCTGATTTTTCTCTTTTCTTTCTTTCCTTTTCTTCATTCCTTCATGAGCTGATTAGAGGAGAGCTGTATCAGCAACGTTTGGCTCAGAGGGACATTCCCTAGAGTCCTAGAGGTAGGAGACCCAGAGCTCCGTCCCCACCTTCATTACCACCTAGCAAGCAGAGGTGACCTCCACTAGTGCATAGGTCCTCACCACCTGCCATGGAGGAATGGAGAACTGAAGCCAGACAACCCCTAAAGAACTCCCTGGAGAAGGGAGAAGATAGAAGCAGTTATGAAACTGAGCTCTGTCTACTAAGTGTTACATTATCTTCACCATTCAGCTGTGGCTTTATTTGAAGCTCCTTACTTTTAATGACCAATAAGAGATTTGTACTTTTCTCTATTTGGTGGCAGTCTGTTTAGCTATTAAAATGAGCATTAAAAGCTCTTTTTAATCTCTCAGATTGCCACCTTCCATGGCCTGACTCCCCCTCATGGCATCTGTTCAGTTGTAATACAGTTTTGCAAATCTTATTTTCAACAAAACTAAGAAAAGGGCTCTAGTAAGAATCCTTTAATGTATACTGTGAGTAGAAAAAACCAAAAACTGGATTTACTATATTTTACTTATGAAAGTACCACTTACGCTATATGTAGAGAAAGGCCTAAGATATGTGGAGGCCTGCCAAATTGAGATTAGGATGAGAAGTTATTTAATGATATCAAAAGTCCTGGGAAAAACTGATCCTGCTTACAAAACTTCCTCAAAAGGGACCAATGTCTTTGATTGGGAATCTCCTTCAGAGAAAGAGGAAATAGGAAATCACCTTCCCCCTTTTATATTGGGGTATGGTTAGGCTATAAATTTCATTCATCATTTGCCCTACTGAATTTCCATTTAAAATCACTGGGTTTTGCTCATTAGCAAGAAGTGGGAATTTGGCAGCAAGAGACTAGCTTTTTAAATGGTGCTCTATTGAAATGTGCTCTACCTAGGTTCACACATACCAATAACCTCCATGACGAGTTCAGTCAAGGCACATTATCCCAAGGTGTGGAGGGAACAGACAGAGGGGCCCTGTTCCTGCTTTTCAAGGAAGCATGTAGGACAGAAGAGGCAGCACACGGCTAGGGATGAGTAAATGCCGTTCCAGTTTTTGAAAAAGGTTAGAGGGATGAATTTTCTTTTTTTTTCTTTTTTTCTTTTTTCAGTTTACTTGCAGCACTTTTATTTTTCCTTACACAATGACGTGTTGGGCATTACAATTCTCAACTCTTAGGATGACTTACAAATTTTGGTATTCTACTGTCATGTGAGAACATTAAGGCAACGTACAAAAATCTTACATAAATTAACTAGATGCACAAATTTACAGGTTGTAAATGCAAACTTTTTTGCAACTCAAGGTTGAGTAACTTAGCCCCATGACATTGGGGGAAAACAGTGGGTTAAGGAAAAAAAAAACCTGGTTCCTAAGGCTTGAATATGTATTCCTGCTAGGATGGCAGCAAGACGCAGCACACATTTAATAAACTCTTGCCAGCCTTAGGAAAGAAATTCTGCAATAGAGGGCTGAATTTTCAAACTGAGCTTGACTTCATTCAGGGCAAAATTATAGATTTTGTTACAAAAATTATAAGATCATAATTTTCAAGCTAGAAGGGATTGTAGAGACAAGAAAGCCCATCCCTCTCATTTTACAACAGATAATAAAAATAGGTGACATTTATATTGTAGGCTTAAGGTTTGCAAAGCAGTTTATATAACAATATATATGTATATATACACATGTACATATTCAATGTGTGTATATACATATATGTATATATGCATAGATAGGCTGTGTATGTCTATATATTATATATATATATAATATATAGACATACACATGTATGCATAACCCCCTCTTGGATCACTTCCTTGTCATGGTGGAGGGGGCTTGCATAGCTCAGTGAAACTGTGAGCTATGACATGCAGGGTTACCCAAGACAGGTCATAGAGGAGAAATATGACAAAAGGTGATCTGCTGGAGAAGGAAATGGCAGACCACTCCAGTATCTTTGTCAAGAAAGCCCCGTGGGGCAGCTAGGTGGCGCAGTGGATAGATCACCAGCCCTGGAGTCAGGAGGACCTGAGTTCAAATCCGGCCCCAGACACATAACACTCACTAGCTATGTGGCTCTGGACAAGTCACTGAACCCCAGTTGCCCTCACCAAAAAAAAAAAAAAGAAGAAGAAAAAAAAGATAAAGAAAGAAAGCCCCATAGACAGTATTGGTATGCTATAGTCCACAGAATCATGAAGAGTCAGACACAACTGAACATCTAAACGACAACATGCATGCGTACCTACACATACATTTAAACTTTTTCATTTGATAAAAACCAGGCCCAAAAAATGTTAAATGAGGTAAGTCATAGGTAATAGAAACAGGATGTCCACCAAGGAGTTGATTTCAAATTCATTGCTCCCTCCATTATACCACACTGTCCCATTTTCCACATAAAAATCTGGATATTTATTATTTTGTCATGAAAATGCTATATTTTGAATTGAAAATTATTGTAATAGGGGAAGCAAATTCTGTTATTAAATAAATAGATTTTGAAATGTTATCTTGAAAGGTATCTAAAAAAAAGAGAACGCTTGTGAGCATTCACAAAAGAAAGCGAGGCTTTTTATCCTGCTCTAAATTCAGGTAAACTGCATTACATTATTGGACTCTTGCTCTAAATATAGCACAAGTGACCTATGTGCTCTTATTAATGTGTGACACTTCTATCATAAGAGATGCTGCTTATGTAGAATGGCACAGTGGACACAGAGCCAGCCTCGGGATCAGGAATATCTCAATTCAGGTCTCACTTCTAACATATTATGACTGTGAGACCTTAACAAAGCCACTTAACCTCTCAGTGCCCCCAGGCAACTCCCTAAGGCTAGGTGGCACCATAGTGGACAGAGCACTGAGTCTAGAATCATCTTCCTGAGTTCAAATCTAGCCTCAGACACTTACTCATTGTATGACCCTGCTTGCCTCAGTTTCCTCATCTGTAAAATGAGCTGGAGAAGGAAATGGCAAACCATTCCACTGTCTCTGCCAAGAAAACCACAAATGAGGTCCTGAAGAGTTGGACAGGACCGAAAATGACTGAACAACAAGATATACATCTGGTGAAGAAGTTTCCTCATGAGAAGTTCTTTATACCAATAAAATCATGGGATCATGGATCTGGCCTCTCTCATTCAAAAAAGTCAAATTCAGAAGTATAAGGTGCCATTCATAGGCTCTCATGAAAAAAAGGTGCACACAGGCTTTAGTAGTTCAAGCTCAATGAACCAACATGACAGGCAAAAAAAATAATCAACTGAAGCTGTATTGCTCGCTCCATAGTGTCACAGCATTGTTGTATTCTGCTTTGAGTAGACCACAGCTCAATGAGGGTGTCCAGTTCTGGCAGCCCCCTTTTAGGAAGAGCACCAACAGATTCAAGTGGGTCCAATGTGGGCCAACCAGAATGCTGAAGGAACTAGCAACTGAGCCATGTAAGGATGGACTGAAGGAGTTAGTTATGGTTTGGCTAGAGAACAGAAGCTTTAAGGAGAAGCCTTTACCTACTCGAAGCCTTATCATTTGGAAGAGAGATTCTTGTCCCCAGAGGACAAATTAAAAAAAAAAACAATGGTACATGGAGCAGAAGCAGCAGAAAGGTTCTGGGTCAAAAAAAGGAAAAACTTGTAAATGACTGAGAGCTTTCCCAAAGGGGAGTGGGCTACCCTGAGAAATAGGCACTTGGTGCCCTTTAACTTGATCCTGGAAATTTAGTATTTGAAGGATCCTCAGCAAACATCGAGTCTAAACCATAATTTGTCAAGAACATCATAGAAGGGTATTTCTGTTGATTTGTGGGTTAGACGAGCAGACCTCTGAGGTACCTTGGAATGCTAAAATTCTGTGAGTCCTACAAGTAGGAAGCATACTGTTGAGAATTTGGCCCAAAAATGATTCTACTTAAACTTTTATGAAAAAGTTCTTTAACTAAAAATCATTATTTCAACCCACCTTTGGTGAGCAGTTCATTCCATCATCACCCAGAGAGCTCACAACTAATGGGTGACAACAGGGTTAGACTTTCATACTTTATGAAATACAGTGGGGTTAGATGTGTTGTTATCCCTTGATGAATCATTTCTTTTTGCTAATGCAGGAGCTTCTACCCAAATCAAAGGAGAGCTTGACATGTTTGGCTTTCAGAAGAGAGATAGCCCTTTCTGATTAAATTTGAGATCAAGGCTGAGTCTAAAAATGTGAATCACAAACAATAACACACTGTTCTACAAAGAGTAAGTAAACTATAGCCATAAATCAGTGCAGTAATTTCCACACATGCCCAGTAGAGAAAGGAAGGTTGGTTGCATACTAGCCTTTCCACTTACACTGACATACACTCAACTTCTAATCAGTACGCTTTTCAAAAAACAAAGTGCATTAATATAAGATTTTAAGTACTTACGCATCTTTAGCAGCTCCAGCAGGACCTAAAATGTGGAAAAAGACAATAGCATTAGCATTAACCTGCTGCTCAGTTCAAAAAGTAAGCCCCAATCATGCACTAAAATTACATTACAGTAGACAATTTAATCTAATAGCCATTAATATTTGAGAAAAAGGGAGCAAAAAATGATTGATAAAATCCAAATCTGAATTTAGTTTTGACTGGTTTCTGATGACTGGTAGAGAATCACTGGATCCTACAAATGAAGTTCCTATAGATCAAGAAACTGGTGGATTTTCAGCAATAATGTTGTTATGTCTCAAGTCATGCTTCCTTCAGGCACTATGTGCTATAGAATTGCTTTATGTTATAATGAACAATTATAATTATTGTATTATATTATATTATATTATATTATATTATATTATATTATATTATATTATATTATATTATGTTATATTATGTTATATTATGTTATATTATGTTATATTATATTATATTATATTATATTATATTATATTATATTATATTATATTATATTATATTATATTATATTATATTATATTATATTATATTATATTATATTATATTATATTATATTATATTATATTATATTATATTATATTATATTATGTCATATTTATTAATCAGACTTGCCTGGTAGAAAACCTGGTTGAAGCCTATAATCACCGCTCTTTTTCTATATATACTGATCATTTCTTTTTCCTTTCAAAAAGATCTTGTTTAAGGATATAGTCTATATTCAAACTCACACAGTTTATATTTTCCACTTGTATTAGTACTAATATATAAAGCAGAAATAGAGGCATAGTAAGGAATCAAAGTAACAGAAAGTACATTTTGACCTGAAAGTGAGCGATTTCAGACAATTACATTGTTTAACATCACTGGGGCAGATAGTCTTACGGACAAATGTTTCTCTGTGACCTAATCAGTCTATATTACAATTTTATAAGAAGGGAATCACGGTGGCAAATTATCTTTCAAATATTTTTCATTTTCACAAAATTACAAATATGTGAGTTGTTACTAGCTAAATGATGAGATAGTTCTGAACCTCAATGTTAAGGACATATTTATTTTCCTTTAAAAGAATGAAGTAGTCAGATGCTGTTGTACTGAGTAATGCTGACTACAAAAGGCTTCTCTGATCATAGTACTTTGTCAAGAATATCCAACTCAAATAATATTTTACTGGAAGCCCTCATAGAAGAACTACCAAACCAGATTTTAAAAAAAAAAATATTTCTTCAATTTCTCCACATTAGCTCAATGGTGGCTTAACACTACATCTCAAAAATGTGAATATTTTATGCGCCATTAAGAGTTTCACGATATAATTATCAATTAATAACTTGGCACCTTTTAGACATTGGCATGGAGGATGTCATGAGTTCCCCTCTCTCCTCACTGCCAGTCAGAACAACAGTTATTAGAAAAAGGCAGAGTTGGGGCAGCTAAGTGGCACAGCAGATAGAGCACCGGCCCTGAAGTCAGAAGGACCTGAGTTCAAATCCAGTCTCAGACCAAACACTTGACACTTACTAGCTGTGTGACCCTGTGTAAGTCACTTAACCCTAATTGCCTAAAAAAAAAGGCTAAGTTATGGCCCAGTAGGACTTTGTGTTGCCACCAGGGAAGGACATTCATGATTCCAAAACAGTCTTTCCTTAAAAAGCTAAAGAACCCACCATAACTATCAAATGTAACTCAGAACTCATATTGTAGGAGATACACTTTTGCCTCCAATATCCAGGGGAAATTAAGGAGTAAACAATTGAGGGGAAGCAGCTTTTGTTGAGCTCTCTGACATATGCCTTCCTAAAACAAAAGCAAGGGAAAGGTATAGGAAATAATTCCATAGGGCTTCCACTCTCTTTTCTGGTGGAAGCCAAACCGCCACCTTTCTCTCTGGCAATATCTCTCCAGGGCTTTCTCTTTTTTTTGTAAGCAAAGCAGCATCCTGAGTCTCCCCAACTATCTGACTTGCTTTCAAGCAAGACCTTTACCTTATTGTCTCCCTCTCTGCTAAACCAGTAGCTCAGTCACTTATCTATTTACCTCTTTCTCTGCCTTCTTTTCCTATTTGTTTTTAGCATTTGGATCAGTCAAGCCATATGACCTTGTGTCAAGCAAGTCCAGTGGGGTTTTCATGCCACAGAATGGGGTGCCCATTCATACCACAGAAGAGGTATGAATGCGTAACTGAATCTCCTATTTGCAATTTTGCACCTTGAAGGTTATATTAAAAATTATATTCTCAACTTACATGATGTTTTCATTGAGATATATATTTATATTGAGCCAAGAATTTTCCCCAAAGTCAAAGTCCTCTCTGCATGAGAAAGGTATGTCTCTGTCACTGAGTGAAATTCAACCCACCATGATGCTTGGTCACTTTCTCAAAATTCAAAAAATTTACAACTAAGCTGAGAAGGGAATCTCTTTCTAGAACAACATTCATGAGAAGCCCATGAGACCCAAAGCTAAAAGCACTTTTTCTTTCCTAAAAAAGAAATATGGTAAACTCCAATCATACAAAATCTGAAAAAGGAGAAAGCTCAAATAACCAAATTACTTTCTGGGCGTTATGCAATTATTCACGTTCCTAATGATAACCTAAACAACCTAGAACCCAGAGATTCTTAACAGTTTTTGTGCCATGGAATGCATCAGTGGTGTAGTGAAACCTATGAAACCCTTCTCAGAAGAATGTTTTTAAATATTGATGGAAATACTAAATTTCAGTTAGAGGTTAATGAAAATAAAGATAAAAGATCCTCAAATTCAAGTATATGGACCCATCGAAATCTATCCTTGGACTCCTTGGAAGTACAGATTAAGAATCTCTGACCTAGGGGGATACTGAAGTGCTCCATAAATCATCAAAAGTTAAGCTGCATTCCATTTGATTCAGCATATATTTCTCCAGCATCTATTTTTCCCAACACTATACTAGACAGTACAATTTTAGTACTGAGATTGTTTTACTATATTCTAATTCTTTTAAAACCCATCAGCTCATCAGAATACCAGTTAACCCCAAATACCCCATTTCCCAACCACCATGGATAAACATTTGACAAATCAATTTTCCTCCTCCAAAAAGTTTCTTTCTAAAAAGCAATATGGGGCATAATTAGCATTTTTCAAAATCAAGCCTAATGGAATAGAGTCTACATTTCAGGATCCTAGATGTAAATCTCTTGGGAAACATTAAAACACACCAGCTGGAAAGCACCTAATTAGTTATGGCAGCATTTTTAACATTATAATAGATGCATGCTACATCTTATTTCTTATAGGCAGATGTTTCTTTGTGACCTAATCAGTCTATATTATAATTTTACAAGAGGAAGGGAATCATGGTGGCTAATTTTCTTTCAAATATTTTTTGTTTTCACAAAATTATCAAAGTATAATCTGTTCCTAGATGAATGATGAAATAGTACTAAATCACAATGTTAAGGAAACATCTCTTCTCTTTTAAAAGAATGAAGTAGTCAGACACTTTTTACACTGAGTAAGACTGACCATAAAAGGCTTCTTTTGATCACTGCACTTTGTCAGGAGTATCTAATTTAAATAATATTTTACTGAAAGCCCTCATGGAAAAATTAATTACCAAACCAGATTTTAAAAAATATATATTTCTTTTCTGAAACTGGCAGGTGACGCTATCTTCTCTCTACAAGATTACTATCTGGGATTGAAAAATGCTTGAGACTTATACCGAATATCCTTCTTCCAACATAAATGATTATACCTATAGTTATTAGTGTTTTATGGGAAATAATAAAAAGTGGCAGGAAACTTTCCCCCCTTTGTTTCATAAATATAAGAACTGTAAGAAGAAACTCTATGAACTATAAGAGGAAAGATGCTTCTGTGAGCCATATAAATATAGCTAGAAAAATGACAAAATCCTTTTGAACCTCAGGTTTGTTATCGCAGCTAGAAGCCCTATAATCAATCAGCTATGCTATTAAATCTCAGGTTAGTAAGTAAAAGGAAAAAACATACTCTAATCAGGCCAATGTTTGTTTTTCAACAAACCATTAGAAGATATAGATTTCCAAGTTATTTCTTCAAATACCTTAAAGGGAAAAAAGACCTATGTGCCTAAGATATACGTGTATAATAAGCTTAGAAAAAATAGCTTTGTTCAGAGTTGTCCTTGTTTACATGCTGTATTTTTACTATGCAAAAAAAAATTCAAATAAAGGTCAAACAGCTTGCAACCAAAGATAACACTAGCTTCATGTGTATATAGATATAAACCATGCAGAGAGATTACTCCTCCACAGTGAGATGAGGATGTCGAGCCCAAAATTGGGAACATATTCTATTAAAATGGCCTTTAACATGATTGAATTGTTCAGCCGTAACAACTGATGTACTGTGAATTCTACTAAAAGAGATGATAGAAATGGATGGCAATGAGCTGAACCTACTCAAGCCCACGGATCCCACAACCTGCTTGTTTCTGCAGGTTACCTGCTGAAAGCACCCAGCTAGCTAGTAGCCACAGAGATCACCTGGCTACTTCCACTTGGGATGTCTCACTGTCTTCTGGAGGGAAGAGGGGGGAGAGCAGATGCCTTGCACAAAGTAGATGTAAATTTCCTTTGTATGGAAATGCTTGTTGGATCACATCACTTCAAACTCAAACTTATCCTCATTCTCCAAAAGCCAGATTCGCCCATCTTTATTAGTGAATCACCATTGACCCAAATGCCCAGACCTAAAATCTTGGGGGCAGCTAGGTGCCACAATGGATAGAGTACTGGCCCTGGAGTCAGGAGGACCTGAGTTCAAATCCCAGTCTCAGATACTTGATACTTAACTAGCTGTGTGACCCTGAGCAAGTCACTTAATCCCAGTTGCCTCACCAAAAAAAAAAAAACCCATCTTGGAATCACCTCTCACTTCTTTCCCATTCCGCCTGCATACCCAGCCAGAAACTGAGGCTTCCTAAAGGCCTTGTGCCCATCCCTTCATCTGAATTCCCCCATGCCACTT